AATCCAATTCAGGAGAACCCAGAGAAGCCTGGCGAAGAAGCCATCCTTGAGGTCTTGGACGCCTATCTGGGCTGGCACCAGGAAGACTCAGGAGCTAATGGGACTCCCAAGGAAGACTCCCAGAGGATGGACGAGTGCCCACAGGAGAGCATAAACCAGACCCTCTGGGACCTGGATGAGCTCATGAAAGATCTGGAGGCATGTATGGAAAATCAGAAAGATGACCAAGACCATGCCTCCGTGCTGACCGATTCTCCTCAGGAGGAGGATCTCCAGCCGTGCAGCAGTGCCTCTCCCCATATGGATCAGGTCAGCTATCAAGAATCTGAAGCTTGTGAGGACTTGCCCAAGTGTGACCCACCAGAAGACAGAGACATGGACCAGTTCCCAGAAATGCCTCCTGAGCTTGAGGACGATGAAATTGTTGAGGTGAGCACAGAGCAGCCTCAGTGCAGAGCAAGGGGTGGGTCAGGGAGCGGGTGCCAGGTTGGACAGCTCAGGGTCATTCTACCTGCTGTGAAGCAGGTAGACCTGAGTCTCTCAGCAGATGAGCAATGGGGGAAGGAGAACAGCAAGGAAAGGAGCCAGGGAAGAGGTGTAGGGAAAGTGCCAAGGAGCACGGAGAGAAAGAGAGGGGAGGAACAAAGAGAAGGACTAACGATAATACAAACGTGTGTGTGCGCGTGTGTGCCTGTGTGTGTGTGTGTGTGTGTGTGTGTGTGCTTAATGATTTATGTGTACAGAAACTTTGCATTTACACTTGGCTATTTCTGTTAAAACAATAAATTAGTATCCATAAAGCAGTAAATATTGACTCCACTGCTCCTGACGTGGCTTGTCCATCCCTCACCCTCTCTGTCTTGGCAGATGGAAAGCCAGGAGATCTGCACTGCAGAGACCTCCTCAGTCTCCTCAGAGCCCTCCAAGGAGGAGGACGTGCCTTCAGAGGAAGAAAACACGTCCTGTCTGAACTTGAGCTTAGGCTTCAGGTGGCTCAGGAAGCGAGTGGTCTCCGCCCTAACAAGGAGAAATCGCCCTGGGAGGGCCAACAACAGCTCCATTCTGCTGTCAATAAAGAGAAGACATTTATTTGGAGGCAATAAAGTCCAACCTCAAGAATCCCTCTAGTTAGGACCCCCTGTCTACCCAGAATTCTAATAATTTTCATAGCTCCTTCTGTACAGTTACCATGGTTTTATGTTTCCCAATAAACACAACAAATGTTCTTGTTATCCATCCATGTCTTTCTCTTCTTCCATCATAACATCTGGGCCCAGGTTGAAAGTACGTATGTTGTCTGGAAGACTGAAATTCATTCTCAGGACATTTTAAATAGTATTATGCTTCCTAAATACAAAGCATGGTTTTCTCTCTCTCCCTGTACCCCTTCTACTCTTTTTCCTCTCACTTGATCTATGATTTTTATCATTAACTCATACCTGTACTGTCAGAGGCAGCAAGACACCTGGGACCTCCACATGGCAGGATGGTACTGGTGGAACTTCTGGTCTTGAGCAAGTGGCAGTGGGCAGTGAGCGAATGGGAAGTTCACTTCAGTCAGTAGTGTTCAGACTCTCAGAAAGCAGTTCTGATGACCCTGGGGAATCAGACTGGTTCTAGCATGTTATTCTAAAATGTTCTGACATGTTGGTTGGTTCTAGTAAGCTGGTTGGCACAAGAGGCCCGTGGAGGAGGATGCTAAGGGCTGGGGATGCTGCTGAACCTCCCTACACCTGGCTTTCTTCATTCATGAGATATAGAGAATTATACTACAGACCTCAGAGGGTTTTGGGGAGAATGAATGTGATAAAGCAAGCACTGGGTAAATACTGTGGCTGGTGCTGGTGGTGGTCATGTTCCTGAGCATCTCCCAGGAAGACTTGGATTCAAGATGCATCCAAGAGGGAGATTTGGAATCAACTCTCACAGAGCTATTTCCTACACTGAAGTCATGTGACCACAACTTCAGGTTTTCAGCAGAACTTGATTGAATAAGTCTTCTCTCAACCCACTGCACTGGGCTATCTGAAATTCCTTTCTAAATATCATTAAAATTGTCCCTATAGGCCAACTTCTTCGAGGAAGCCTGGACTCATCCTTCTTGCTGACTCTTCCTGTGTTGTCAATTCATCTCCCATGGCCACCATCATCTTCCTCACTCATCCACAGGTTCCTGCAAAGGTCTTCCTCCTCTGACTTGTACACATACCCTGTGTGACCTTCAGTGTTCATATTGTGAAAAATCTCTGAGTATTTACTGTGAAAGGCCTTCCTTTCCTCAATTCCACCCTCCTTAACTCCCTCCTCCCTTCCACAATCATTGAGCACATAGAAACCTCACTAGCTGAAAATACCAGAAAAGATATCTAGATTTTGGGGGCTCATAGGGCTCCTTATTCAAGAGTTCAAGCCATGTAAATATATGACCATAATGAGTTGTGGCTGAAAGCAGTCTCTAGCATGTATATGAAGAAGTGCCTAGGAGGGATGATTTTGAAAATCTTCATCTAAAGTATCATATAAGTCCATTTACACTGGTATTTTCCCCTATATACATATAAAGTTTACCATTTTAACTATTTTTATGAGTACAATTCAGATGTATTGAGTATGTTCCTACCTCCATATGCTTTAACCATGAAGTAAAGCAATATATTAATAAGAGAGTGTGAAAGCATGCTCCGAGTAAACGTGGAGTGAGAAAAGTGCTCATGAAGGATGGGGACACAAAGGCAACAGCAAAGAGGGGAACACCCTAAGTTTTATTTATAATATACGTTTTTTATTTTGTAATATAATTTTTAAAAAATGAATCATATATGACAAAATGTTAATGCCTGTCACTAAGTTATAATACATGAGTGTTATATTATTTTCCATACTTTAATGTTTTTTTATTTTACCTTTCATCTTACCCTCAGCTTACACTTCCAGAGAAAGCAAGCATGCTGGCTGGCATGCATATATTCCTTAGCCCACTGCTCCAATGTTGACATCTTATACAACTAGCACAATGAGCACACCAGGATGTTAACTTTGGTGCAATACCCTTAACTAAGTCAAACGAAGTACTGGAATTGCCCCTGTTATTGCACTAATATCTGTTTCCTACTTTCTGATCTCATTAGGAACACAAGTTGCACTTAACTGTACTGTCCCCTTAGTTACCTGCAGTGTGTGACAGGACCTCTTGTCTTCTCTTACCTTTTATAATCTGACAATGATCAGATTTTTGTCACATGTCCCATACTTGTAGTTGTCTGTCATTTTACCATAATTAAAATAAGATGATACCCATTAGGGGCTTTTCTAGATGGCAAAGAATAGAAGAGATTGCTTTCCTGGTAGCTTCATGGCATGAAACCAAGAAAACAGACAAGTAGCTTCTCCACCAGGTGGGTGAACAAAAAAAAAAAAATGAGATGTGACTTTGCTGGAATTTAAAAGTAGACATTCAGTGCAGACCAGGGCCACAGGTGGGTGGATATAATACAATAAGGAAAAAATCTATAGCAGCATAGCTGATCTGCAGCTGGGCCAGATGTAGGACCATTGTAACTCTCGATCATGTACAATCAGAAAACTGAGAAGTTACACTCCATCTATGTTGATGTGTCAAAATCCATTCTACTGTCATATAGAACTAATTAAGCACAAATAATAAAATTTTTAAAAAATTTTGCTTTTGGCATGTTAGGTGACTACAGATTTTTTTGATAGCAGGGCAAACCAACTTCTTGCTACTAATTTCATCATGATGAGTACCTATGTTTTTAGCTTTTCACGGCACATTCATATATACAACATAAATCTTCAAAAAAGTTCATCACTTTATTAAATATACATAGGATGGCACTAAAATTTTTCCAATCATGCTTGGATTCCTTGAAAAATCTTGTTTTCACATGCTCTGCCAATCAAACTTATATTGGTGAATGCCTCCTCCCACATGCCTCTGTACCATCACAGACCACCGTGGACCTTTCACCTAGATGTGCATTCATCTAACCTTTGGGCATCATGTTGCACCCACCGGCCCCCTCAGAAGCTCTGAAGTTTCACCTTCTCAGTAATCCATCCTGCTATGAAGACCTCCCAGCAGAATAAGTTTAGGAGCTGACTGGTTAGATTCTAAATTCTGCTATGGCTGAATTCAAATCAATTGTTTCCCTCTTCCTGGCATAATTTACATACAAAGCTTCCCACTGAGATTTAAAGCTCTAGGTTTTTAAAATTTTGGGTTACATAAAACACATTTATCTTAAACTTTTCTAACTGCACAGCTGGTAGTGTTAAGTATATTCATATTGTTGTGCAACACAGCTCCACAGCTTATTCATCTTGCAAAACTAAAACTCTATACACAATGAGCCATAACTCATCCTTTCCCCCGATCTCTACCCCCCACCCAGTGACCATCATTCTATTTTTTGATTCTGTGGATTTGATTACTTTAGTTACTTTATCCAAGAGGAATTTGTCTTTGTGACTGGATTTATTTCACTTGGCATATTATCCTCAAGGTTCATCCACATTGTAGCATGTGACAGGATTTCTTTGTTTTGCAAGGCTAAATAATATTCCATGTATATGTACCATATTTTCTTTATCCATTCATCCATCAATGACATTTAGCTTGCTTCCACCTTTTGGTGGAATTAGCATGGGCATTAAAATATCTTTTTGAGACCCTGTTTTCAATACTTCAGAATATATAACTAGAATTGGGATTACTGGATCCATCCAGTAATTCTATTTTTAGTTTTTTTGCATTATCTCCATTCTATTTTTCCATATTGGTATACCATTTTACATCCCCACCAACTAGAATGTTTCTTACCTATTCATATTTTTACATATCCTAGATAATAATTGTTTCTCTGTTATATATTACAAATATTTTCTTCAAATTTGCCCCTTGTTTTTTAGCTTCCTTGATAATGTCTTTTTTCATATAATAGCTTTGTGTTTTGACATAGCCTAATATACCATTTTTCTATTTTAATTTTTCTTCTAATTTAAAATTATTGGGCTTAAATTTTGATACAGATCTGAAAATATTTAGGTATTTTCATCTATTTATTTTTTAGTATGGCAAGAGGAAACTTTTTGTCCTTATTGGTAATTGGTTGTCTTCTCTGGATTGGAAATTCCATTTCTGTCATACAAAATCTCACATAAAATAGACACTTCCACTGCAGTGGTCTTGGTTTCTGCCTTCTGAGTCTGAGCAGAAATAAAAAGTTGTTTTTTTTTTCATTCATTGATATTGGTCTCACATGATGATCAGGAATACAGTGCCCTTTTACTAGTATGCTAGCTATTCTAGTTCATTAGTTTACTAAACTTATCAATCTATTCATTTTGACACTTTTCTTATTTGTTATCACCTCTGATGGACTGAATATATTAAGTGGGAAAAGTCCATCATGGTCTCAATTACATCCCAGAAGGGATTTTAAAAATAAGTGGAAACACAGAGCCTTGCTTGGAAGACATTACTATGTACCTGAAAAATACAAAGCACACAGGTGGTAATAAAGAACACCAGTGTAATACCAATGGTAATAAAGAATACCAAGGACAACAACATGTGGTATACACAAGCACAGAAGTGCTGTGGCATCCTAGTAAAAGGGCACTGTATTCCTGATCATCCTGTGAGACCAATGTCAAATAATGAAATTAAAACAGCAATTAAAGGCTGGGGTTGTGGCTCAGCGGTAGAGCGCTTGCCTAGCATGTGTGAGGCCCTGGGTTCAATCCTCAGCACCACATAAAAATAAATAAATAAAATAAAGGTATTGAGTCCAACTACAACTAAAAAAATAAATTAAAAAAAAAAACACAGCAATTAAAAGCCTATCAACAAAGAAAAGCCCAGGACCAGTCTGATTCTCAAATAAGTTCTATTAGACCTTTAAAGAAGAATTAACATTAGTCTTTCTCAAATTATTTTATTGAAATGGAAAGGAAAGGAACACTGCCAAATACAATCTATGAAGTCTGTATCACCCTGATCCCAAAACTAGACAAAGACACATCTAGGAAAGAAAGCTACAGATCAATCTCCCTGATGAATGTAGATGCAAAAATCTTTAATAAAATATTAGCAAACTACATTCAAAAACATATTAAGAAGATAACACACCATGATCAAGTGGCCTCATCCCAAGGATGCAAGGTGGTCCAACATATGCAAATCAATAAACGTAATTAACCACATAAATAGAATTATGAACAAGAACCATATGATCATCTCAATAGACACAGAAAAGGCCTGTGATAAAATAGCACCCATTCATGCTGAAAATTCTAGATAAACTAGGGACAGAAGTAACTTACTCAACATTATAACAACTAGACATGACAAATCCAAAGCCAACTATCACACTGAATGGGGAAAAAAAAATGAAAGTTTTTTTTTTTTTCTAAAATTAGGAACAAGACAAGAATGTCCACTCTCACCACTTCTATTCAACATAGTTCTTGAAACTGTAGCCAGAGCAATCAGACAGAGCAAGAGAATAAAGAAAAAGAAGTCAAATGATCACTGTTTGCTGATGACATGACAGTATATCTAGAAGCCCCCAAACTTCACCCTAAGATGACTAGAACTGATAAATGAATTTAGAAAAGTAGCAGGATTCAAGATCAACACTCATAAGTCAATGGCTTTTCTATACTCTAACAGCAAGTCATCTGAGAAAGAAATAGGAAAACTATCCCCTTTATGATATTCTCAAAAATAATAATAATAAAATATCTGGGAATCCAACCAAAGAAGTGAAGTTCTCTACAATGAGAACTATAGAATACTGAAGAACAAAACTGAAGAAGACATCAGAAGATGAAAATACCCCCCATGTTCTTGGATAGGCAGAATTAACATTATCAAAATGGCAATTCTACCATAAGTAATATACAGATTCAATGCAATCTCTATTAAAATGCCAATGACATTCTTCACAGAACTAGTGAAAATAGTCTTTAAATTCATTTGGAAAAATAAGAAACCCAGAATAGTCAAAGCAATCATGAATAAGAAAAGTGATACAAAAGGCATCACAATACCCAATCTCAAATTATACTACAGAGCTATAGTAGAAAAACCAGCATGGTATTGGCACCAAAGTCAGTATGAAAACCAATGGAATAGAATAGAGGATACAGAAACAAATACATATATCTGATAC